GTATGCAACCAGCAAGTTGCACAATTATTTGAATACAAATCCATGTTTTCGGAAATTATCACGTGGAACTAGAGAATGAAGGAAAACACTTGGGAAAAGGCTTTATCACACTTGGATTCTCATTCCTCAGAAGTTAACTCCAGTCTTGTAACCTATTTATTCCATTTTCTAGTCCACTCTATTCCATTTTCTGGACATGGTTTCAATACTGATCCGAAGTCATTAATTCTCTCTTAAAAGAACTGTGAACTACTGGTCCTTCATTTTCTAACTTGGTCCTCTGTTGATCACACTGTCTGATCCTCTTCCTCCCCCAGCTCCCCTCAGCCCACATATACTTGGAAGGTGAACTCAGACCATCCTACAGATGCCTGCAGGTACCACTCTCCGTCTTAAATCACCTTTCTGAACATGACGCCCGGTGCAATTGGCTTAGATTAATGGCCACCATAAACAGAACCCTCTTCCTGCTCCCAGCAAACATTTTTGTTCCCGGTTCGTATGTTGTTTTCCCATTACACACACCCTGATGGAAACACCTCGAAATCCTAATAGAAACAACACCTCAAGATCCTGGCCCAAAACTTTCATTTGATTTACAATCACCGACAGTGTTCCAACTGCAAAACGACATATCAGACCCATTAATATGCTTGGAGGAGTCTGGGTTAAATAAGGAAAGGGAGAGAGAAAATTTAATCTAAGCTACTGCTTATTTAAAAATTGATAGGAACTAATTAAATTAGTAAAATTTTATTGAACTTTAAAACAAAAATCAATTTTTAAAAAAATCCCCCGTTCACTGAATCCAAAAACAATGAAATTCTTTTTTTTTTTAATTAAATTGGCTAGTGGTCATTTCAGTCCTTTGGAACTCAACATATATGTTCTAAATTGAGGTTTTCCACTAGCTTCAAGTACGTACTTGCCTATTTAAAGCAAAAACAAATTTTTAACATGTAATATAGTTTCTCTGCCTTTTAATGAAGCTGTTGGAATGTTTCATGTCATTATCTGTCTGTCTGTCCAGTGAGGGTGTTAGTAAATGTTTAGTGACGAGTCTTCGATGGGGAGTGGGTAGGTACTGACTTCTGCCAATTTCCATGATGTAAATACTCCCAGCATGGCTCATGATGCCAAGCTACTAAAGTGACTGATGACACGAACATGGAGTCAAAAAGAAATGTGATCAATCTGCTCCCATGAGCTGGTACAAGCTGACTCTGACATATCACTGAGTCTTCCTTTATGAGTCTAAACCTACAATTACTGTCCACCTAGAATATTATCAATGAGACAGCAACAACGCATGCTTCATCCTCAACTGTGCTTCCTTTACAATGATAGTGCCTCTTGACCATGGCTGTGTGATCACTACGTTGACCTAGACCATATACTTAGCTTCTGAGCAGTCTTTGGTTAAAAAAAAATTCTGTACGTTCCAGTTCATCAGGGATCCACGAAGATAATTACTTATTTGGCTTTATGTGGAGTCAGTCCATTCACATTCCCTTCATATTTTCCTTTTGTTTTTAAATTCAAATGAGTGCTTACAATTCAAAGAAAATGTTAAGTTCATTTTCCTTCATTCTATTACCCTCCCCACTCATAATTACTAAATAACTCAAAATACCTCCCAAGTTTGTTTAATTCTAGAACATCAATGAGTCTTCTTTTGTGGATTTTATACCCCCTTTCTAAACAAAATCCCCAGAAGTACTGGTCAAGTAGGTAAGATTTTAGCTATGCCAGGCTAGGGAATGGGAAAGGAACGATGAACTTAGGGAGAAGAAGGTATTTACCATTTCAGAGTGCTTACCAGACAACTGTGACTGTTCCAGGAGTACTGCACATATTATTTCATTTAATCCTCAAAATGCTCTTGGTGGCTATTATTATCTTTTTTTGTTTAATGGACAGATTGAGGTGCAATTTCATTACAGATCTACAGCCACACAACTAGTGAGTGATGGGAGAAAGAATCAAATCCAGTATTTTTGACTGCTAAGCTGACGATTTTTTCATGATGCCTTCCTGTCCTTTAAAAGTAGTCTAAAGAATATTTCATCCGAGTTGGTGGGTCTTCCCCTAAAATTCCATCTCGAGGGCTTCTCTCTTCTCCCATATTGTGATCTACTTCTTTCCCTTGCCTTCTCTCCAACGCCAGGAGGCTAGAGAGCTGGTGCCTTGCCTCCCTTTACTCACCACATCCAAAGACTTTGCTGCTTCTGTGTAAGAATCAGGAAACTAAGAGGAGAAAGAGCTTCCTCTCCCATAGAGTCAAGACACGTTCCAACACTCCTGCCTCTGTGTTGTCTCTCTGGGAAGTCTGATCTTCACCTAGGAAGCCAGCAACCCAGCCTGAGGAACCTGGTCTCTTCCACCCCCTTCCCTGGCACGTGCAAAAGCCTATGTGTACAAAACCGCTGAGGCTCAGAGGCACGTTTGCCCACAGCTTCTAAGTTTGCCCAAGTCTGGCAGTTGGATGTGACCACACAAAAATCTAAAGGAACCTAGCATCTGTTGATCTTCTATACTATGCTGGGCACTAGACTTCCACAGAGTCACAGCCATGCATGCAATGACTCATATGTTTTAGTCTTAGGACAAAATCATATCTGTGATATCACATCTCATAGGAAAGTATTAGGTAAAATAATACGGCAAAAAGTGTCCTAGGTCAGGTCACATCACTCCTCTGCTCAAAACCCTCTTATGGAAGAGAAAAACCAAAGACCTTACCATGGCCTATGTGACAGATTTTATTTTTCTAAGGTGGTCACAATAACATCTCCTGTCTCACTGTGTTCTTCCAGAACTTTGATGCTCCCTCATAAAGAGGTGGAATCTATGGCCCTCCTCTTGAAACTGAGTAGCACTTTATGACTGCCTGGATGAACAGAGCACAGTGGAAGTGATACTGTGTGACTTCCGAGGCTAGGTCATAAAAATTTCATGCACTCCAATCATGTTCTCCTGGGACACTCAATCTTGGAACCCAGCCACCACTCTATGAGAAAGTCCAAGGTACCTGAGAAGAGGCATACTGCTTTCTCTGAGCTTCCAGCCAACAACTAGCACCAACTTATCAGTCATGGACAAGAATCATGTTGAAATCTTCTAGCCCCCAGTCCAGCTGCTTTAGCTAATGCAACATGAAGCAGCAATGAACCATTGTTGCTGATCCCTGGCCAAACAATGGATTTGCAAGCAATTATATATTGTTTTAAGCCACAAAGGTTGGGGACATTTGTTACACAGCAATAGATAACTAGGACAGCCAGCAAGGTCGTATATGAACTCGTTTCCTGTTAACTCTGAGATCTCTTCTCCAGCCACTCTGTAGTCCTTGTACACTCTGTACTTTGGCAAACATGGAAAGCACATGACTACAGTCTTTAATTTCTTCCAGTGATATTTTAGAGTTTTCTGGGTAGAAGTCTTATACATCTTTTGATAGACTTTTTCCCCTAAGTGTTTAATGTGTGGGATGCTACTGCTAATGCTTCCCAGTTATCCTAATTTAAATTTCTAATTATTTGTTGCTTGTATGTAGAAATAAAGCTTATTTTTGCATGTTGACTTTATATTAAGCAACCTCATTCAATTCACTTACTTGTTCTGATAGTTTATTTATAGACTCTCAGATTTCTACTTTCCAATAATGTTGTCTCCTAATGATAGCTATATTTCTTCCTGTCTTATCCTAATATTTCAAAATTTCTTTTCCTTCCCTTATTGAACTCGCTGGGACATGCAATGTGACATTAAAAAGAAGTGATGAGAGTGGCCAGGTTTGTTTAGGTCCCAATCTCATGGGAAAGCTTTAAATATTTCACCAGTAATTATATCAGTACAGTTTTTTTTTTGGTTGTTGTTGTTTTGTTTTGGTTTTGGTTTTGGTAGATATTCTTTATCAGAATAAGGAAGGCTCTTGTCTCAGATCAACTCTACAAGTATTTTCTAATCACCCGTTATGTCCTAGTCACTAACCTAGATAAGCAGAGAATTTACAAATAAATGAGAGTGGGGTGGTAAAGCTCAGTGGTAGAGCACATGTTTAGCATGCATGAGGTCCTGGGTTCAATCCCAGTACCCCCATTAAAAAAATGAAAGACTATTCCTATTCTGAGAAATTCACCATGTTAGGTATGAAATAGATAAATATAACACAGAGTGACAGAGAGGAAGTAGAAAAACAACTTACTCTGCCCAGGGGAGTCAGTGAAGCCTCTCAGAGCACAAAGTATTAAAGCAGAGGCTCAGCATACGAGATAAATGATGTTCTTATTAATAAGAATGATATACAAGGACTACTCCCTTCAAAATTCTCTCCAGGACATTTACCTACACAGGTGGGCTTCGTTTTACAGCGCCAAAGGATTATCCTGAATTTCTGTGCACATCACATTTGGATAAATCTACTATTCTCAAGTACTCCTAAAAGAGGTTGCAACTGAGAGAATAAAGCATCCCATGGTAAACAATTTTAGTGACGATTCCTGAGTTCTACGTACTTAGGTTTTCAAAGAATGTTACATGAGCCAAAATGCTGAGAAAGACATTCTGCTTTCCATCCCACAAACCCATTGTGAGCGCTCTTTCCATTTCTTTACTGGCTGTATTTGCAAACAATAGCGCAGGCAATGAAGAAAAGTTGATTTAGAGCAAGCAACAGAGCATGCGGTTTAGAAACATTTACCTTAGGTAGCCATAACACATGTTAAGTGTTAAACAAATACTGTTGACTTGGCTCACTCAGGCTACGTCTGCAGCGTACCAAAGAAAATCATCTGGACAGAATTGTATTACCTTGGGCCAAAGGATGTTGGAAGGTACACACCTCAAAGACCAGGTACAGTGAGGTCTTCCCATGTCAACATTTAAGGTGTTTTTTTTTTTCTTTTTAAAAGAGAAAAGAGTATCCAAGAGTGAACATAGGTAACATTGCAGAGTTCAAAGAGACTGAAAAGTTATGTACATGTCCGTCAATGACTTACTGTCTCCAGGAGAACAAGGTGAACACTGTCAAGTTCATGTCCCAACATCTGGATTTGTTCTCAAAGCAGAGAATGGAAACAAGTGGATCCAGATCTGGAATGACAAAAATTGAGGTCTTATGGCTTGAGGAAGTCTGGAAGTAGGGCCGGTGCCCCCGTTCATGTTCCTCTGGGACTCATCCTGGCAGCACCTGCCAGCCAGAACTCCCAGGTTGGCGTTTGCCTTTTCTGTCCAAGGGCTTTCCCTTCAAGTTGGACCCATTCTGTCCCAAGTGCCAAAGAGTTAATGCTCCCCTAGGTAAGACCCTCAACAATGACTGTTGGGAGTCTGTGCGCCCCCCTCAGGTGGGAACTCCAAGCAGAGTCCTACCTTGTTCCCAGGTTTCTCTTGTAGGAGTGAGCTTGCTATTTGCTTACTCGGACTTTGCTGTCTTACTTTCCCATCCCTCTCCCAATGTTTCCTGCAATTACTTCCAGAACAAACCATTTCATTTGGATTCTTGTTTAAGAGTCAGCTTCTGGAGGATCCCAAACACACACAGGTTATCCTTGACTTAAGCAAAGGATATCAGTATCCATTCCTCATCTTTTCGTAAGAAGGTGGTGGCACTGTCTCCCCCTAAATCACACCCTCTCTAAAGGAGCTCACATGCTCTGTAGGAGGATCGTGGAGGACTTCAAGCCGTTATCTGGGCAAGTCAAGTCAAAGCCACTGTCATCTAAAATCGTGGCCCATTGGAGCACAAGCATCATTTTTTGCTTGACTTAATTGCATAATTGCCTTGGTTCTCAGCTTACTGTGTGGAGACCTCACGAAGAACAAATTAATGATCTCACATGAGGGGGACCCATCTTCTGTGGGCTTCTGGCCAAGAGGGAGACGTATCAATGTCAAGAACAGCTATCTAGGGAGACTCTCTCAGGGGGAGAATTTCTCCTTTCAATTATGACCACCTAAAAACCACGATGAGAATTGCTTCTTATGAAGTCAAGCCATGGAAATTAAACTTTGGGGGAAATGGTTAAATTTCAGCCTTGGAGCCCTCCGTCTGCTATACTGGAGAATTTTCCTGGGCTCATCAAACACGGCTACAAGATTTCCTAAGAGTCTTGCTTTCGATGTTTCAGTAAATTCAGTGAACATTCCCCTGTGGGAGCAAGTAGTGTGGCTTTTAAGAAGAGAATTTTAGTTAAATTCCATGTTCTTTCCTGCTATAAAGGAATCATGGTAATAAATGAGACTCTCGTCTTAAGTTTGTGTTCAAATGAGAACATTATGCAGAGAAGTTCCCAAATAATGAGCAACTACAGGTTTCAGAGCAGTGCCTCAATCCACGAGCAGAGTGGCTCACCTCTAACAGTGAGATTCAGCGGTATTACCTGAGAGTAAAAGATTCACCAATAGCACCAGGGAGGACGCCATCACTCAGTTTGTTGTTTGAATTAATTGCTAGAGCTCGTTGACAACTTAAAGAGTAAACTGAGTGCCTTTAATGCCTCTGCTTTTGAGCTCACCTAACTGGACTCAACAGAAAACAAGTAACACCTTCCCCTGTTCACTGTCATTATTCTATTTAAATACAACTCAGATCAATCAATATAACATTGATGAGTGTGGTTTAACTATAATGATTCCAATATTATTTCTAGTATTTTTTTTAATTGAAGTATAGTTGATTTACAACGTTCTGTTAATTTCTGGTGTACAGCATAGTGATTCATTTATACATATATATTTCTTTTCACTCTTTTTCGTTACAGGCCATTACAAGGTACTGAAAAGGTATTGAACATAGTTCCCTGTGCTATACAGTAGAACCTTGTTGTTTATCTATTTTATATATATAGTAGTTCACATCTGCAAAGCCTGAACTCCCGATTTATCCCTCCTCACCCCCTTTCCACCCTGGTAACTGTAAGTTTGTTCTCTATGTCTGTGAGTCTGTCTCTGTTTTGTAAATAAGTTCATTTGTGTCTTCCTTCCTTCCTTCCTTCTTCCTTCCTTCCTTCCTTCCTTCCTTCCTTCCTTCCTTCCTTTCTCATTCCACACATAAGTGATACCATATGGTGTTTTTCTTCTTCTTTCTGGCTTACTTCACTTAGAATGACCATCTCCAGGTCCATCCATGTTGCTGCAACTGTCACTGTTTTACTCTCTTTGTATGGCTGAGTGGTATCGAGGATATTCCCTTAACTGAAAAGCATAGGGAAGAATAATCCCCCTCAAAGCAGAACCTGACTGCATCAGATGGTTAGCACTGGGAACTTCTGTTTTATTGTTTTGTTTTATTTTGTTTTGTTTTAAGCATGATCCAGAACAATGTCTTACCACCCTCTTCCTACATGTTCCTACATGTGGAAGGCTTTTGCTCAAAAAAAAAAAAAATTCTTATGGTTCAAAAGCCCCAGCTAAGAGTTTAGCCTGGGGAGGAACAGGGAGGTGGTCTCACCCCAGAGTGAGGTCATTTCAGAAAATGTTCAAATGGAATGAATCACACAGAGCTCCTTAAAGTTTCCTAACTGCTCCACGTGCTCTCCTGCCTCGGGGCTTTGCATGCACTCTTCCTCTTGCCTGTGACGCTCCCTCGTGCAGCCCCCACCTCCCCACCACTCATCCTCACTCTCCTAGGGATCAGATTTTCAGTCTTTGTGCAGATGGAGTTTTCTGGAGGGAGATGCTGTCCGCGTGACTTTTGCACTGTTAAAATCTGAATCCTCACCCACTTCTACCCCGTGGTTGGCTGTCTGCCTCTCTCACGGCTGAGGTCCTCCTCCTGCCCAGGTGTGACTGACTCACCATCACCTCTCCAGGTGGGCCTTAAAATACGCTCTCCTCATCTATCCCAAGGCCAGCTTCTAAGTCCACAGCCTGCTGTCTGGGGACCGCTTGCCCACCGCTGCCCACCCCGGCTCCACTTGTCTCTCCATTGCACGTGTCCAGGATGTCCCCAGGGCCCCTTTAAACCCTGGGATTCAGGAAATCTCTATTCCTGTGCTTGCTCTGCACTGAGTTGCCATGTGATAGTGGATAAATAACTTCCCCTGGCTGGATCTCATTTCACTCATCTACAAACAAACAAAACAAAATCAAAGACCCAAAAATGATGAGCAAACTTTTTCTTAAAGAGCCAGATAGGAAATATTTCAGACTTTGTGTAGCCACGTGGTCTCTGTCACAACTACTCAGCCTCACGGTGGTAGCACAAAAGGTGCCATAAACACATACATGGATGGGTGTGTTCATGTTCCAATAAAACATTATTTACAAAAGCAGGTGGCAAGCTGGAACTGGCCCATGGGCTCATTTGCTGGTCCCTGGTCTAGATGATTTGCACGGTTTCTCCTCTAAAATGAAGTCATCTTATTTCTACCAGTGGAATTAAGTAGTCCCTTCTTAATCCCCTGTGTGTTTCCTCCTGATCACAGTTGCAGGCATATACAGAATTAAATATGTGTCTCTCCCAGCTAGAAATTCCCTGCAGTCAGTGACGATGTCTGTGTTTCACCGGAATATACTAAAATTATTGCAAAGTGTAGCCCAGATAAGTTCTTGAAAAACCAAAAACTGAATGAATGAGTATGACTGCTGAAACTCGGCAAACAAGAGTCAATCCACTTTCCCTGAGAGAAGAGGACCAGAGATACCCCAGCACCTAAAGGCATGCTCCCCTAATCCTCTTCTCTGATAAACAGTATCTTCTCCATCACTTTCCTGGCAGTTGGAATGGATGTGTCCTGAAGTATGCATAGCTGGGTTCTCTGGTCCCCTGGGAGGGAAGGATGTCATGGCAGTGTTTCTCAAATTGTCCCGAGCACATAGATCAGCTGGGACCTTGATCAGATGAAGGTTCTGATTCAGGGTAAGGCCTGAGGCTCTGCATTTCTAACAGGCTCCCTGGAATTGTGGATTTTTCTGGTCCATGGACCACACTTTGAATTGTAAGGCTTTAGAGAATTTCTGCCCTAAGCACTTTTCCTTCCCATTAGTACCTAATGAGAAGCCCAGTTTAAAGTAGCTACAGCAAAATAAAAGGGAAGGGGTTCATATAACTGAAAATTCCAATATTATCATTGGCTTCAGGTATGGCTAGATCAAGGCTCTGTGTTCCTTTCTCCATCTGTCAATTCTGTTTTCCTCTGTGTTTGTTTCATTAGCAGACAGAATTTTCTGAGCTACCAAGAATGAGACTCACACAGTCTTTATGGCTCAAGAGCTCAAAGAGACTGTCTTTCCAACAATTCACATTTGCCCTACTTGTGTTATAGACTTACCCCTGATCCTATCAGTGTGCCCAGGAGGATGGAATCCTGTTGTGAGAAAGTCCTGAGTCTAGTGCCGAGTAGGGGCATGAAGTAAATTTTAAAAGAACCATACAAACTAGCCAGGATTATTATGGAGAGGGAAGTGTTACTTTACCAAAGGGAAGATGCTGCAGAAACACTTTCATACCAACCCATAACACTCCTCATTGAATCATCAGTCATCCTGATACTTTGCTTATTGTATTAGTTTCCTACTACTGTGTAACAAGTGACCACAAACTTCTCAGCTCCAACAAAATACAATGAGCAGCCCACAGTTCTGAAGGTCAGAGGTCCAGCATAGCATGACTAGTTCTTGACCCAGGATCTGATCTTGGAGGCTGAAATCAAAGTACCAGCCAGGCTGAACTCTTCTGGGGAAGAACATGCTTTCACATTCATTCAACTTGTTTGCAGAATTCAGTTCCTTGCAGGTCTTTGCTTGAAGGTCTGGCGTCTACCTATTGACTACCTGCCCCCCAATCTGCTGAAGAGGTACCTGCCCCCAACACCCTACCTGTGGTACCAAACATTCTGTTCTCTTCTTTGGCGTTATTTGTGAGAAGGAAAGAACTAGCAGAGCTGGAAAGGTAATACATGAGCCCGTTTCTACTTTCACGGCACTGTCTAAGTACCAAAGTGTCATCTGAGGCTTTTCTTCCAAAAATGACCTCCCTGTCTCCCAGGATAAGGGAGGATGTCTCCCCTGCCGTAGCGTTTCCAGGTTTTCTCTGGACCTGCAGGGACTTCTCAACACCACCATGGCCTTTCTTTCAGGTCTAGCTGATCTTC